GGCAGAAGGAGAAAAGGTACTACTTACTTTTCTTCTTAAAAAGCTTAATGAAAGACTTAATCTTCGCATTGATGAACACCACCATGTCTGGAGCCCCTACATGCGGTTCAGGAATGCAAACCACATAAAAATCTCAGTCCCGCAGGCAGGTGGTACGGTGCACTCTCCCGCCCCAGATTCTACACCTCTTCCTCCGCGTGTCCTGCCCTTGGACTGGAACTCTAAGGCTGAGTTTATTGTCAGGCAGTTACAACCCATTAGCAGTCCTTGAACCTGAAAAACTCCCATGAAACCTAATCTTAAAGGCTGGGAGCAGCCAGAAACAACAGGCTTGCAAAGAGAAAGCCAATCGCGCTCTTATTTGCATGATAGCCACCGGAGGCTTTCTGCCCCGCGCTCATTCAGCCACCTTCTCGGCAAAGGCCATAAGCCCCTCCCTCCCTGGAGTCCACCGAAACAGTAGATTTTTTTTCCTCCTCGGAAATCAAGATTGAACAAGCGCGCTCCCCGCTTTCAAGCAGGCCCCTGTGAACATCCAGGTCGTCTGACAGGAGCCGGCAAGTCTGAGAGCAACGCCACACTGATTCTTTGACTTTCCAGTTAACTCCGGGTGTGTGGGATACGGGATTTGAACTGACACTGACCAGAGAGAAAAAAGAACCAAACTATTGTTTGCTGACCACGCCCCTGGGCCCTGCCTCCCAGACCAGAGGAGCGTTTGTAAGCGGTACAGCTTCAGGGAAGACTCTCTAAGGAGTCCTGCAGGGTGGCCGAGGTCATTTCTATGCTAATGAGGATGCCTAGGCTCCTACCAGTACCAGTAACCTGTGTTCCCAAGTGTAATCGTCCTATTATCCAGCTCCCTCAACTTTTGAAAAACCTCAACACAGCCAAGGATATGGCTCCGTCAGTACAAGGGCCTGCCTAGCAAGCGCAAGGTCCTGAGTTTGATTTCTGGTACCAAAATAAAAATAAATGAAAAAGAACACAACTTCTCTGCTCCAAATGAGAAATTAGATAAGGGCCCCTGATCATTTTCATCTTGAGCCTGATTGTAATTCTCACCTGAGCACCTAGCTTAACAATTTCACAACTGCTCCCCAGGCATAAGTCTCAAACCCGGTGTGGGTTATCCTCAAACTCCAACCCACTGCAGGGAGTTGTTTCTTGGGCCCATTTGAAAGCCACCTCTGAGAAATGGGGAAACAAACACCGAGGGATGAGTCAGAAATGCGCGCGAGGAAGCACGGGCAAAACCAAATCCAGGTGGAATGAAAAAGAGAACACAGATCAAGAGATACAAAAAGGACAAAGGGACAGGACAGCGCCACATCCCCCAGCTCGACTTGATGGCAGTTTTTGAAACAACTCAGACAACCTCTTATTCCATAGCTTTGGGCCAGACTTGTAACTGAATGGAAAAATGTAATAATCCCCTAATTCAAAACATTTAGTTTATAACAAAAGCTCTTAGTCAAAGAATGAAATTTATAGAAGGGGCTCCCTCTAGGGAAAACTTTGGAACCGTGCCTCCTCAAACATTTCAGCCCTTCCAGCTTAGCTTTTGAACAACAAGAGCAAACAAGAAAACACACGGTGCTGTAGGTCTCATCACAGATTTGCAACTTGCATGCGTTCACCCTTCACGTAGCTTTGCTTAAAGGTAATTACATTGGCAGACGGAAATGGGTAACACCTAAGACAGTAAATCAGCTTGGGCAGCTGCCTTGAGTGAATGAGCAAAGTTCTCCTTCAGAAAACAAATTCAAGGGCAAGTGACCTCACCCTGCTCCTTGCAGGACAGACAGGCACGTCGAGGTTAAGTGTCTCTATACACGCTTCCCATCCAGAACAAGGCCCTGAGTGTGCTCACTTCTGGTCAGCACCATGGAGCTTTTCAGGCATGCACAGCTATGGCAGTGAACACAGCTCATGCACTAGAGAAGTAAACCCTGAGCACCTAGTGAAGCCTGTCCATTCTCAGCCGGGCTGGATCGCTAAGGAAAACAGGCGAGACCCCACCCTCATGGAGCTTACACTATTCCACAATAAGCAAATGATACACTGGGTTAGCAGGCTGCAAATGCAACGGGAAATCAAAGTCGAGCACCACAGAAAGGGCCCTGGGTAGGAAGCGGCCAGGTCATGCTGCATTAAATCGGAGCTGATGGCAACAGAATCAGCTCCACAGTGAATCAATCCCACTGCCTCTCTTTCTCCAGAGGGAGGATGCTCCCAGGCCGTGAGGCATCACCAATCTCCCAGGACCAGGCACGGGACTGCTCTCGCCCCCTCTTCAAACATGCAGGGTACAGGATCCAGGCACGGGGCAGGCTCCTCCCTCCTCCAATACCAAGTCTGATGCTGGGCAGCCACGGCTGGGGGAAGACAGCGCCACGCTGTTCCTCGCCCATCCATCCCAGAGTCCTGGGCACCTTGTCCTTCGGGCAGTATCCCGAGCTTCTCCCTAACTCTATAAACCCAGGTAAAATACCCAATAAATGATTGCATTTATTCATTGTTTTGCATACATATAAAGTTGTGTTTGTGGAGCGCTTATTAATGATAAAGTTTCCCTTAACAATGCTGTCATCTCTTTATTTCTGTGTATAGGCATAAGCACAGGGACATGTTTTTATCATATGACCTGCATGCCTCTTCATCACACTTACTTATGGAAGAGCCTAAAGTTTTAAAGTTATTCAGCTCCTAACCGGGAAACGTGACAGCCCAACCTAACAGCGAAGACCCCAGCTGCACAGCACCTGGCCAGGTCACCGGCGACTTATAAGACGAGCAGGGATCCCTCCACACCCCACTGTTCTCTCAGCTATAAAAGGAAGTGAGTAAGAGGGTGCACATCACAAAGTTATCAGGCCAACATAAAGAGTGAGTATGGGTAAAGTCCTCAGACAGTGCCCGGCATGGGGTAAGTGTGTGCGCTTGTTAAACTGATAAGTTCTGAGGAGATGGCCAAGCAGCTGTAAGCATAATAAAAGTCCATGGCTTAAGGGAGAGGACTCAGCTTTGCCGACATTGTAACTGTAGGTCTGTCTATCTCCGACTTAAATCACCAGCTCCTCCAACGGTTGCTCTGAACTCACTGCTTTCACTTCCTACAACACATTTTCTTTGTTCTCTCCTAGAACTCATCATGCAGCTTTTGAAAAAGATTTGCAGTGGTCGCCCATGCACTTCCGACACGTAGCAATGCTCCTGTGTTCTGTCTGTCCAGCCGTCCTGTCTACCACAAGCCGCTCTTGAGTTGCCTAGATATCCCGCAATGCTGACTTCTTTCCTGCCTCTGATGGCTTCTTTAGTCTGGAAAACTCTTGCTTTACCTCAAAGGCCTAGTTTTAAAAACTTTTTAAAAATATTTTATTTATTTTTTTGGTACAGGGTCTCACTACAGAGCGTGGCCTCCTACAGATCCTCCTGTCTCAGCCTCCCCAGCGCTGGGATTACAGGTGTGCGCCACCACACCCAGCTTCAGTAGCAGGCTCTGTACAGGGCTGGCATGGCATGTGGTACCAGGGATTGAACCCAGGTCCTTTAATTTGCCAGGCAGGCAATGAAATCACCAAGCTATCTCCCCAGCCTTGATGTCTACCTTTAAAATCACTGTTCTATGTTTTTCCCTTATTTCCTTTTAAATCTTGAGTGGCTTTGTCAGTGTTAGGCAGAAAAGGCAGCAAATAATGGCCCCAGGTCCAAATCCAGACAGCCTGTTTTCAAGTGGTGGGTGGAAAAAATTGTAGTAATAATTTTTGTGATGTGAAAATTCTGTGAAGATCAAATTTCAGGGTTCACCCATACAGCTGTCACATCTTCTGGATAGCAGATGATCTGGAACTGCTTGGGGGCTGCAATGGCGACAATGATTGGAACTGTATGGCCCTCAAAACCAGAAACAAAACCAGACATGGTGGCACACACTTGTAATCCCAGTGCTGGGGAGGCTGAGGCAGGAGAATCACTACAAGTCAAAGCTGCAGAACGAGACCCTGTACCAAAGAAATCTTTAAAAAAAAAATCAGAAATGTTCACTATCCAAACCTTTACAGAGAAGGGCTGCCGACCACAGGACTCCTCCTTTCTATCCACTATCTTCTAATTATGTCTTTCAATCCCTATTATTAACCTCTACTCAAATTTCACATTACTCAAGTTGGGCATGTTTAATTTAAAGCAATGCCCTTTTCCCCAGGTGCACCACAAAACCTTTCTTACTTCTACTAGGGATATAATCGCAGATAATTTGATTCCTGTTAAAAATGAGAGAGTTGAGATTTAGAAGCTAACACATACCAAAGTAAACCGAGAACCCAGGGTCCCAACACCTCCCTTGCTAGCCTGCATAAAGTTCTGGAAGGATACTGATACTTAGTATCATGCAAATGTAACATCCTGCCCCCCAGGTCCTTACGAGGATACATAAATAACAAAAACCTTCATGGTGAACCACCATCCTCCAAAAGTACAGTCAAATATCCCCAAAAAACCATCCACTGATGTTGCCTGAAGAATCCTTATGGCTTCTCCTGGCCTAGGATTTCAGAATTCTGTTACCACTACTATCATATAGTACTCTGTACCCTACAATATTTGTATCCTGAAATGGAATTCAATGACTTCCATTTTTCTTCCAGCCACCACCTGGTCATTCTATAGTCACTTGATTACTTCCTGGGAGTAGGTATATAATGTATTAGCAAAGATTTAGCAAAATGCAAATATATAGGACTATTTTACAAAGTAGTATATGTCCTAAAATATTATTACTATTTGGGGAAGGTGAGACAAGGTCTCACTAGTAATTCAGTCTGGCCTCTGACTTCTGGAGAGCCTCCTGACTCAGCCTCCCAAGTGCTGGGATTACAGATTTTTGTGCCACCACACTGGGCTTATATCTTGAAAATATTAATGAGAACTATGTTTATGTTCAATCATTCAACGATTTGGTATTGAGCACTTTATCAGCTTCTTTGTGTTGGACCTCTAGGTAAAAAGAAAGTCAAACAGCTAGGGATGCAGCCCACTGGTTGAACATACTTACCTGGCATGGATGAGGGGTGGGTTAGAGTCCCAACACAGCAAACAAACAAATAGTGCACTACACATGGTTAGTGACCTTAGGAAATGCACAGCTCAATGAGGAAGACACCCAAAGAGAAAAGTGACAGTCCAATAAAGACACTCAGGCAGAGGGCTGCGACCATGAGATTACTACTGGGGCAGAGGCTTCATTTAGAAGATAAATAGCTGTTACAGAACAGAGGCAAAGAGGCATATTGGGAAAAGAGCAGAGGTGGGACACATTTGGGGACCCGAGGAGGTCTGCAAGGTCTAGGCCAGTGGCACAGAGG